ACTTGTGACTGTTGAAGTAGCCGAAAGACTCTTCAATGTATCGGTCGCCATCGATCGCATCTGAGCCAGGAACAGCTCCGACTACAGAGCAGGTTCGTCCGCTGAGGGGCAACGCATCGTAGCCGGGTCCAGATGGCACGAGATTATCGCACTTGAAGGTGCGCCCGTGGAACTCATTCGCCATCAAGGCCTCGAAGGCATACGAGAGGGGGTTGATGTATCCCATCCATCGACTCCAACCTTGCATATAGGGTGTTGGCACGGTGAACCCAGCGTACATCATGACTCCAAGGGTAACAAGTGTGACAGGCACCATGGCCTGGTGTGACGTTCTCGCGAGTGATGCCATTGTTCTGTAGATACCAGACATGGCCAATAAGACCGCAAAAGAGACCAAACAGAAGAAGAAGAAGGGCCCAGGCTCGCGATTCAAGTTAGCCATGAAGTAAAGAATGGAGTTAAAGGTGAAGACGTTGGTGATTTTGTAGGGAAGCTCAATAATGTAGCTGGAGATGGCCTCAGCAGATTGGTGATAAAGGGCGTAGCGATTATGCTTCTCAACGACAGGCCTTTGCGCATAAAGAGTGAGGACCTAGAGGTTTGTCAGCTGCCTAGGAAGGTTGAGAGATGAACGAATCAAATAGGCTTACTTCCATCTCACTTGCGAAAGCGTTGAATAACAGCGCGAAGAAAATGATGCCTCCTCGATAGTAGAACGTGCTCGAGTCAGTCTTGAGGTTGAGGAACATGCTTCCCAGCACGAATCCCACGATAATGTTGTACACAAGCGACGAAATCGTAAACCCGGGATCGGCAACCAAACGCTTCCATCCCCGCCAAAGGCAGAGCCTCACTTGGCGAGGGTATGTGATCATATACGGAGACTTCATTCGTTGCATGGGACTTCTTTCGGCTTTGATGCTCCGCTGAAACTCTTCAAGTCGGTCCTTGGCCGGGTGGGTCTTCTCGTAGGCTTCAATGGCGGCCATAAGAGCTGCTCGGTCCGGCGATGCTTTCCACCTGGCTGCGAATTCGTCCGGAGTTCGAGGCGTCATGTTCTCGTATCCGGGTCTGATACGTCGTTCACTTGGAGACGTCATGGAGGTGAGGAAGTCGGGAGTCGTTTGCCTTTCGGGACCTAGACCCGCTCAGTCAGATAATGGATTTGGGAATTTGAACGGGTCCTGTGGACTTACACAGAAATCCCATGTCTTCGAAATACATTTTCGCTTGCTCGATTCTGCCAAAGTAAATCTGGCGACCTTCGTACAGAACTGTCACTTTGTCGAACAACTGCATTTTGTCAGCCGCTGACTCGAGTTCCGCTTTCCAGCGCTCAGGACTTACATCATAAGCAGACTGCGGCGCCTGATAAATGGCCACCACGGCTGCCACATTCAACAAATCTGCTTGCGTCCGGAGATTCTGACAAAATGCAATAGCATTGCCACTATCCAGGCCGCGAGTGCTGTTATCCCAGCACTGGAACTTAGTACCCGTCAGAGCAGCCTCGACGATGCTGACTCGCTTCCGCTCGCCTCCCGAAACCCCGCGCACGAAATCATCGCCGACCTTCGTGTTGATCGTGTGCGAAATACCAAAAGCAGCCATAAGTACATCCCGCATGATGCGAGCATACTGCTTGCTCGTGAGACCGGCTGGGACATTCGTCGGAACTCTCGCTCTCGAGGCAAATTCCAGAGTGTCGCCTACTGTGAGGGGGGCCAGGTGCACGTCGACTTCGGCATTGTAAAGTACGTCGCCGCGGAACCAGTCGTGCATGTACCTGGGATTGATGCCTACGCGACATTAGTTGATGCCTCGGCTCGATGAGTTCTGACCTACCTCGGAAGTTCATGTATGAATCTGTTGAAACATTGAGGCCTTCGGTCTGGCCAGCAAGTGTCTTGAGAAGTGTCGAGCAGCCCGATCCAGGCGGGCCGAGGGCAAGAAGCATCTCACCAGGCTCGACGAGGCCCTCGAAATCTTGCAAAATGTCGATCCTCCCCTTCGTTCTACCAGTCGCAAGCCCAATGAGATTCGTTGCTATACTTAGAGCGATGTTGCCCGTACTCTTTTGGTATTGAGTACCGGTGCTGTATCCGAAGACGTTGAGGTTCCGAAAGGCAACACCCGTCAATCTGCTTGGTGTTGACGCAGGATCTGACTCGTACAGGCTTATGAAGGCTCTCGTCCAGGCTGCTGAGTCGAAATTAGGAGATGACGGATCCAGATGGCTGTTTTTTGGCGGGTTGAGAACGTCATCTTGGGCGTGGAGGCTCTGTGGTCTGGAGGTAGCTGTGACTTGGCGTGCAAGATTCTCAACCTGTCTGTGCATGTCGTCGGTGATTGTTGTTTCTGAGAAGTCAGACGCCCTGGCGTTTGCGGCCTGAAAGTAATCGACCTCCTCTGATGTATGCATGGTTGCCCCCTCTGATGAAGAGTTGACGTGGGGGTTCGTTCGAGGTTAGGAGTGTATGTGCTGCAGTTGCGGGAGTAAGGTTTACAAAATGAAAGCAAATGTAACTTGGTCAGTTGAGTTGGTCTAAAAGTCCGTTGGATAGACTTGATTCTGCCATCTGATTTCCTGAAACCATAAACACTTATACCAACCGTTCTGAACATGGGAGCGATCCTGCCATCTCGGCCGTCCGCGGTGACCGGCATTGAGAGCATCGCTCACGGGGCAAGACCCTGACAATGGCAGAAGCTCAACGAGAGTGCAAAGCCACACATGCATCAAATTCCCAGAGGAATTCAACCCTGGGGCCTTCAACTTTTCCAGCCCCTTTGGCCGCGTGGTGTCGTAAAAGAGACCGAACCGGCCCCACGCGGTTCGGACAGCCGCGGATGGCCGAAGGACAAGCGGTTCATCCAACCATGTGGGTCCACGCAGAATCAACGCCACGAAAGGGGGACCAACAACGCGAGAAGTCCTAGACTCGCGTCTCTGCGTATCGTGTACAAGCATTCAGCTAGTCTTGTCTATGTTTCCTTGCGCGGGGAAATTCTTCGGGAATCCATCACTCCGAAGTTGCGTTTGTGTTTCCGTCACTTGGCATTCCGTCTCCGTTGGCGCTATTGATGCTCCCACACAACGGGTGCTTGGAATAACTCAAGAGCGGTCTCCTCCGTAAGGATTCCAAGTGGGGTCCGCCCGGGGTCATCAAGAAGCCAGTCTTCCGAATTTGGATACTTAGCCGCCACGGTTGTGTCTCCCCCAAGTGGCCTCTTGTTTCCTTCTTTCTCGCAGCAGCTTTGCAGACCTATCCCCGTTCAAAATGCCAACCGTCATTCGGCCGCATCCCGAAATTGTCGGCAAATGTACATACACGCCATCTCCTAATCGAGACTTCTTCAAGCATATTTCGGCCGGGGATCAATCTCGGGAATCGGTCCAAACGTCCGTGTCCGATGCAGATGACGGCACTATTGTAGCCTGCGAAAACGGTTTCGTTTACTCAGTGCTCCGTGCCTGGCAGCAGCACTTACAACTCGAGCTGCGGCCCGATGATGTCTGGCTAGCCGTGCTTTCCAATTCAGCTTCTCCATCAATGGACCTGGCCGCGCTGAAGCTCTGCGCCACCACTTCGTCACCCATGACGGCCAACGCGCCCTCGTTGTCGACGTCGGACCGGGTCAGGCTGTCAACAGTTTTGAGATTGCAGCCATAACGGAGTATTTCGTTTTCCTGCTCCGCAAGGACTTGGTCGACCCCAATCTAGCCGACTGGTTGTTACCGACCTTCAGCACGACCTTGCCGCGTGACCGCTCGACTGCTGCTGCCGTGTTTCTCGGGATCATAAAGCAATACTTCAACTACAACGTGAGCATCACCTGTGGTTTTCCCTCTATCACACTACTCGGCAAAGCTAGCGACTGGGTCGAACTGGCAAGGCGTGTCGCCCGGCTGGCAGACTTCAATACCGAGTCACTGGATCGCGATGGATCTTCTATATTTGGGTGATCGCGCTGTCTCGTCATCGTGGTTGAGTGGTTGATCGCCAGCTTTGATCGGCCCGGCGATGATACCCACGCCTGCCACTCGGGAGGCGCAGGCATGTCAGGTGGAGTCGTCCATTTGTCTGGATGGTTTACTGTATCTTGCTGGTGGCGAGCCGACGGGGCCAAGCAGAAGGCGTACAGTGACGAGGAGCTGGCAAGAGAGTGCTCATGGCATGAGAGAGACTGGGAGAGGCTGTACTTGTCCGGGGTTGGGTTTCCGGTTATCGATCAGGGGGAAATACCCGCCGGCCTCACGAGGGTTCCGATCACATTCGAACTTGGAGAAAAGACACTTGGGGAAGAAAGAGAGGAAGACGAGAAGATGGAGATGACACTTTTGGCAGGTTCCAGTGGCATGAAATTGTTGGACAGCGAAGGTACAAGGGTCGCGCCGTTTTCAAGTTGTTGGCTCTTGACGAGCGGGCCAAGCAGAGACAACATTAGTACCAGACCAGCAGTCGCGTCAACCGTCAAGGGAACCTTCGGCCGACCACGAACTGGCTTGGTACCTAAACCATCTGGAAAGAAATCGATGAACGCCCCACCCCGGTGAACTCGACATTTTGCGGCTCTCGAGCTGCACCAAAAGAACGTGGCATCAAGTAATGAAGAGGACAATGCGTAAGGAGATGAATAGTTTAAGCCTTGTAAATCTGCTGCAACCACCTCAGGCAATCGTCCACCTAGGCTATTATTGTTCTTACAACCGTCGTCTTCTCTGCCGTCGTCGTCGCTTTTATATATCGCCATCATCAACTATCCGCCTCAATAGCAAACCTCACTGGATTATCAATAAGATTGAGTTTGTCTCTATCTATATTCTACCTATCATAGCAGCTTCACTAAGTCGTCAGCACCAGTGTCCAAACTTAACTCATAACCTTGCCCCTTCCCGGTACCCTATCCAAACCAAAGGATTCCAAAAGCGCTCATTATAGTCATCCTCCATAGATATTCATCAAGCATTGAAATCATGTCCAGTCATCCATCCAGCATTACGCATTCCCAGCCCACTTCTCGGCAACCCTGGAAGTGATGAAGATGCCCGCCGCAATGAGCGTGAAACCCGGTGCAAACAGCAGCAAGATTGCCACGACGACAACATTTGCGAGGAACTCTGTAGAGCCCAGAGGTGGGGCACGCCCGATGAAGCCGGGCCCGATGGTTCGCACATTCACAACCGGCTCCCCTGGCACCTGCTTCCCGGCAGGGTAGTGTCCGCCCATGCTTTGCCCTGTCGGACTCTGGATGCCGCTGAGGGCATGCAGCACGTCCGTAACGACCGGCCTGTGTTCGTCTTCCATGACGATCCCGTCGAGCCAGGCCCGTATGTTTCCGTGCGGGTCGTCTCCGTAGCTGCGGGTCGGATTCGGGTGGTGATGTTGATTTTCCATGGTTTGATCGACCAATGTGATTGTCGAGCGATCATCCTCGCGGGGGAAGCGGCTGTCTTCTGTGGTTCTCTTAGTATCTTGATATTAAATATTTGGTCTGAGGACGGGTTCTCACCAATGTGCTTCACGAAATTCATTTTTTATGACCAGCTTGCGCACAAAGTCTCCTTCGGGACTGGATGGGATCTTGAGAAAACCGCGAGAGGGAAGCGATTGATTTTGTTTTAAATTTGACCGGCTTTATTCTTGTTTTCTTAGCACGTGCGTTGCTATGGGATGAGGAATGGGAGGGAGAGGGGTGTCACTGGAATGCTTCAATCAAACGGGGTGGCTATCCCTCATCAGCGGCGCCTTTTGGACAGTGAGACATGAGGCACCGATTTGAGTCACATAGTGCAGATAAATTCTTTAACAATGACTGGGCTTTCTGCTGTCTTTGATTTGAATGGATTGAAGCCGCATGTGGTGCGATTCTTCATGGGCCGGGTCTACTTTCCCATCGGACACTATGAAATGGATATACAATAGCCTTATCTTGTACTAAAACCCGATATCTAATGGCATAGGTGGTCTCCAATTGTCAACTTCAATTCTGCAGCGACTTCTTTGGCAATCGCTTCATACTACCAGGCTTTGCTACAAGTTGCGGTCTACTCACCGTACAAAGCTGATGCCTAATCAGCGAAATGTACCTAGACATGTAAGTATGCCATATTTTGACAAGCGATCTCAGTTTCCGTCTTCGGTCGATCAAAAGGGACTTTGGTATCGTGATGGGACTGAGGCCAAAATGCCCAGCCTGGGCACGCTTCAACCATTGAGTCAGCACGATCCTACAACAGGCACTATCCGACCTCCACGCCACTCTTGACTTCGGCAGCGTCGCCCATCTCACGTTGTATCACAATGGCCGACGAACTGCCCGATTTACCTTGGGCTGACCTTGCTGCCAAATTCACCTTCATCTACGCCAAGCCCAATGCCACGGACCACAAAGACCTCTTCCCCCGCCTAGAGCCCGAGCCGGCCCTGGTGGCGGGCATCAACGACTTCATCCGCGTCTTCACAGAAGCCATAGCCAGGCACTCCGCCCGCGAACGCAGCAAATACGCAACAGAATACACAAGCCCACTCCACGACGAGATTCTAGTCGACGATGAGATGGTCAGGGAAATCAGCCCACTCTTCGGCCGGCTGCCTGAGTATGAGCACCTCATCAAAAACCCCAGCTGTCGCCACCGCCCCGATCCGCCGTGCAAATGTCTCGTTCCCTACAGAGAGCGCCGGGCAGATGGCCTTCTACGGCAATGGGAGGTGGACCACTGCTATGAGTTTGAACAGGTTAATGGCGCCGGCTGGAAAAGCTGGCAGTTCCTACTGACGCTGCTCATCCACGGCAAAATGGAGCCACTGCTCCGCCTTGCTGCAAATCCTGACAACGACTTTAACATATGGTCGACGGTTTGTATATGTCAATGTGGCGTAAGTATTGTGGCCCCCGCTTGTTCTAAAAGAAGATCCCATTGAGCTCACCTAAGGTAATGTAGGCGGACGAAGGCAGTGCGCGCCATATGCACGAAAACGCAACCCTGGTTTTCATCTGTCTCCAGATCCTACGCCAACACCTGGAGACCTGGACTCGCTGCGATTATCGATTAACCAAAATGTATCAGAGAATGATCAGCAAGGCGACCGGCGGCGACGCGTACTCATAGCTACCCTACCTCTCTCATCTGTACTTCCTCGGCTTTCCAGAACGCCCGGCGGGCCTGGCTCCGTACACGCGGATTCCCCAGCGCGATGTGTTCAACGTCGAAAACATGCCGCATGATGGTGATATCCTCCCCGTAGAGGAAATGCTGAAGAAAAGAGGGCTGCCGACGGAGCTCGTCGCGGAGGTCATGGATTTGGCTGATTACAAGCCGCGGCGAAGACTCAAAGTCGCACACGATCCATTTCATCGCGATAATCGGGAGGAGCTGGACAAGTACTTGGCGGAGTGTTGGGCAGTGATGGTGCGAGGGGACGTGTTCGCAAAGGCTTTTGACTGCGAGATGAACTGGAGCAGTGATTTGGTGAAGGCATTTAAGCAGCTTTTCCCCGATATTCGCTCGATACGGGTTCCTGAGACGGTACGGTCAGACGACGCCTACGTTTCCGTCATTGATAGGCTGGTTTGCAGATCAAATTTCGAGTGAGGGGTGGTGACGGCAAAGAGCCAGGCAAGGAGCCGGGCAAGAATTGGAGTACGGATTGAAATGTTGTCCCATCGATTGCAACTCCTCAATTTGGCTGCAAGACGAGCTAGAATAACGACTTGGTGGCAACTTTGAGGCAGCTTTTCTCTGATATTCCATCAAAAAAGGGTTCTCGAGACGGTACAGTCTGACGACGCTCATATGCCCACCGTTAATATGCTTGTTAAGACAATTCAGCTGCCCTTCTCCTTTTCATGTTTCTTCTTAATGGCCAGGTGCGATGACAGACGCAAGGGGAAGAGTGTGCAGGGCAGGAAGTTATTCTAGAAACCGCGCGGATGTGGTTTTGCTTCGCCTCTCTCAAGCCTACTCTCATACCATCCTCATCGGTACAAGTTCGATAGTCCCTGTGTCAAATTTACCTACCTCAAGACAAGGGGCCTCAAGAGATACAGTGATCATTTCTGCTCTCGATACGTCTCGGGTGACATGCCACTAAGTACTCGCTGTTAAATACCATGACGGGGCAGTACGTAAATGGCAGGGAATGCAACAACCAACCATGACCGCGTGAAATCTGGATTCAAGGCAATGCAGATCTGCTATTTCAAATCGCGACTCTTCTCTGTGAAATTCGACTTTGGAGGTGACGGGCAACTTATTGCAACCATTACACACCTTGATTGACAATCAGTCCCCTGTTATTTTGCACTGGAGGGCGGGGAGGGGAGTCTTGGGGAAATGGTCAGGGCTAAGAGGGTCGCCCGCTACGAGACTTGTGCCCAGTGACAGCGCATGACGGGCTTTTCTACGCAGTAGAGGAAAACGATGAAAGACCCCCCCCCCTTCGCTGGACCAGTGTCTCTGGCTCCTTGTGGCATGCATGAACAGACATGCGCACAGTACTGCTCGTTACTGTACGGACGTGTGGGGGAATGCTAGCCGAGGCCAGGTTGACATGTTCAACATGAAATGTGATTGGCCCCATTCCCAACTGCACTGTGCAGCATCTCGTCGGGCTGCAGGATGCTATGTTGGGTGATCATGTCACAGCACATACATGCACGCTTAGGACGGGGTTCACTTGTGCACAAGTCTCAGACGTATAAAATCGCTGAGCCTGTCACACACTCCAACTTCTATCTTATGCTTCGTTTTCGAATGTCCATCTTCCAACTACATATTGTCACGGTCCACTACGGAAGTCACCCATGAAACCTGGACGTTTGTGTGCATTCATTAACTCAAGAGAAGAATTACCGTGTGTAAAATCGCCCTGCTGGCCATACCAGCTGCGTTCTCTTGCACTGCTGTCATGTCTTTTGTTGATTCGAACCTGTCGAGGTCCTTCAATCGGCTTCAATGTTTGAACGGCAGTGGTAAGTGCCCCGTCAAGACCCTGCAGACAAAACAATTGTCACTACCTCTTTGGCCCTTTCTCTGGAATATGGCGATGGCCTGTGTTGATGGTTACTTACTGGTTCGGTCAGCTGATGTAGACATATATTCGGACACACTCTTCTGCCTATCCACTTCTTTTGCTGTTGGATTGGTTTTCTATTGCCTTCGGTTTGCCGCGATGTGGTTGACACGTTTCTCCTACGTCACAGGTTGTACTCTCATCTTTGCTCAGAACTTGAACTCCTCGGCGCGGATGTTCCTTGGGCACATGCTCAATGAATACTTCCAGCTGGTCCCTGAGATGATACAAGGATTTCACTTACTGGAATGGTCGACATTGCACTTCGCTACCGAAAATTGCAGAACGGCTTCGAGGAATATTCATATGAGTCAATGGTTTGAGCTAAGCATGACTGCAATGGCTGCCAACTCCTTCAATCTGGAGGACATGCGAGGTCTGAAAGCTACACTCATGTTTGCCAAAAGAGGTAGTAGTTGTACCTCACTCCAAGTATCCCATAAAGGCTCGACATGCCCTAGCACATCTGTTTCGGGCCAACTTCCACCGGCAGAAGCCCAAGACGATCAAAACAGCGATGGCCTCCAAAACTCCGTAAAGCGTTCATATTCTCGACGGAGAGAAAGTGGTGACGGAGAAGATAGAGAACCACCCAGCAGGAAGAGGCCCAGATGCAAGAAAAGTCCCTCCGTCATCAAGAAGCTCGCATGTCCCTTCTATCGTAACGATCCCAAGAATCACCAAAAACACCGATCTTGCGCAGGACCGGGATGGACAAGCATGCACCGCGTTAAGTAAATGAGACCGGCTTCCAAAAGTCTTTTTGTCAACAGCTAATTCCGAAGTGCAGAGAGCACATATTACGACAACATGCCCTGCCAATCCACTGCCCTCGCTGCTTGAAGACTTTCAACGCCGAAACAGAATGTAAGGTTCATCTTAGGCAAGCTTTGCTCTGCCCGTTGAGTGATCACACTCCTCCAGACGGCTACAACAAAGAGCAAGAGGCCACCCTCCGAACAAGAAGCAAGGGCAATGTGGAGCTGGAGCGGAGAGCCATGTACCGACTTCTGTTTCCCGGTGTGCTGGACGATCTTATTCCGAGTCCATGTAAGTGCTCCCTACATGCAGTCTCAAAGCCCGCTGCTGTATCCGATTCTCACTATGTGTAGATTATGAGGATGACGACATGGAGTTGGAAAAGCTTCAACGCAGGGCGTTGAATCTATTCAAGAGGCACATGGAGCTTGCTGTTCCACGAAAAGCGAGCTGCCTTCTCGAACATACGACCTTCGAACCTTCAGTACCCCTCGATCTTCCTATGCGCACTCGGTTTGTCGAAGTTATTGTAAGCGCAGTCGCAGAGGCATCTCGATCCTTTCGACAACGAGAAAGTCTGCCGACTGAGGCGCAAGACCCTGCCGTGCCTCGCGAATCATGCGGCTTCATTCAACAGCCCCAGGTATCTGGCGCTACGGACAATATGCTCTTTCTGCCGACAACCACACTTACACATGAGCCACTTGAGTCTCAGGGCAGTGTGCAACAATATGGAGGATTGGAATATGGGCTGAATAATCCCACTGGAGTTCACGACGGGCTGGAATATCAGAACAATGCTTTGGGGCTTGGGCAAGAGGAGACTGTTGATGCCCCAAGCCTCGACATGAGCTTCTTGGATTGGACCTTTGACCAGGATACCTCGTTTCAAGGCCCATAGGAACCAATTAGAAATGAGGAGAGGGGAGGAGGAGGGGCAAGTGAGGTGGATTCTGCTTTCGACTTTTGTATTTCATGTCAATAGGCAAGGCGTTTAGTCTAGCCCAAAGTCACTCTCTCAATCGCGAACTCCTTTCATCTTACAATTTTGCTGTTGAGGCGAAAGCTACAGTTAACAGGGTGTAATACTACTTACCTGCCTATCTACTAAAGGTAAAAATTGTCGCTATTCTTGATTCTCTTAGTGTCCTTACGGATGTCTCTATTACTATTATCACCATCGCAGCTACTGTTGCCGTCATGATTGAGGTTACCATCACTGTCGTCGTCGTCTTCGCCGTCATCGCTATTAGTCTAGATCGCTATCCGTCCAAACAGCAAAACATTGGTCTTGAAGTTTGTCACACGTCTATTATCGCTGCATGCCATGAATCTAAAATACACATATGAAAATGGTGAAGCTCCAGAATGTACACTATCGTCTTCAGTCCTGCTGACTTCTCCCGCACACCTTTAACCGTAGTTAAGCTCGAACCGGGTGGCGAACCCAGCTTCCGTCGGCTCAACCTCCTTGACGGGATGAAGAATCATCGGCGGCAAACAAGGCCGGCCGTGCTCAATCTCCCAGTTCCTGCCGCCAATATCCGTATCGACGTAGCCCATCCAGTTGTTGTACAACCTGGAAGGGGGCTCTGCGCGGTAGTACCACGTTGTTCCTTGGTACCTCCTCTCTCGTCCGTAGCCGAACGGACTGCCCTCGCCGCCGCTGCCCATGTCTCCTGAATTAAACCACTTGTCCAGGAACGCACCGTTCCAGGGGCGATCGAACCAGGTAGGGTGCGGCGCGAAAACAGCCTTGAAACCGTGCAGCAGAGACACAGTCTGCGGGGTCATCTCCGACGCGATGTGGTTACCGCGCAGGTTCTCGACATGCATGATATCCAAAAGACGCTTTGAAAGTCGGGACTGCGTCACAATCGTCGTCCGGCGCGGGAGCGTCCTGGGGTCGGGGTTCTCCTCATCCTTGTATCCCCAAATATTATCACCGAAGATCCAACTGCTGTTCACCGGGTTGAAGATCGGACCCAACGTGATCAGGTCGGCGTCCTCCCCGACACCCCACGTATACGCGTCTTCTTCGGGGTTCGCGACCGGCGGCTTGGGCCCGACGGGGTTGATAAAGGATACCTTCGGCGGGCCCCAGACCTGGCTGCCGCGCGTGGCCTGCTCCGTGTGCAGACGGAAATCGGTGTCGTAGTCGCCATGGAAGCCGGGGATGTAGTACCGCTCGTTGCGTTCCCACAGGCCCCGGCGCGGCTGGTTCCGCGCAAAGCCCTCCAGCCGCCGCACGAAGTCGTAGTTGTGCCCGACGACGCGGACGTCCATTTCCCAGTTCCAGATGAAATCGAACTCCGGGTGGTCGATGCTGAACTTCTGGACAGAGAGCCACTGCGCGTGGTGGACCGTCCGCTCCTCGGCGTCCGTCAGCGCCGTGTAGATGTCCCACACGGCCTGGTCGTTCCAGACCTTGGTCATGCTGTGGAATTCCTTGGGGATGTGCTTGTCCAGCATGTTCTGGCGCTCCTTGTCATCGAAGATGTTCACAGAGTCGTCGCGCACGTGCAGCAGGAGGAACACCTCGTACTCCCCGCCGGAACGCAGCGACAGCTCCGAGACGAGCGCCCGGATCACCTGCTTGTCGTTCTCGGTGTACTTCTTGCCGGTGTACGTCCTCAGCAGCACGGCGGTCCGGCTCTCGTGCGCCGCGTCCTCCCGCGCATCCAGCTCTCCGCCGTCCTCCCTCTTCCTCATCTCGTTCCCGTACTTGCTGGCGATGTCCTCGTACGCCGTGATGAGGTACTCGTTCGGCTTCCCCTTGCCGAACCGAGCTGCGTTCTGCTGCGCGCACTTCGTCTGCAGGTCACCCCATTTGACGCTGTCCCAGTCGATCGGCAGACCCGTCTTGGCGTGCAGCTGCGGCGTGAGCCCGTACTGGCCCAGTCGCGTGTCGCGCTCGTAGCAGATGTCGCCGTCCATGTCCATGATGTCGAAGCCGCCCATGCCCGGCTTGGGGAAGTCGCGCGGGTGGCCCTTGAAGACGAGCAGGTCCTCCACGGGCTCGCCGAGCGCGCCGACGCACGGCACGTAGGCGGCGCGGCGCGTCTTGTTCCACTCGTCGCTGTTGTAGTCCGGGTACGGGTCGAAGTGCACCGGCCGCTGGTTCGCGGCCCAGGGCTGCTCCTCCGCGGCGGACTGTCTGAAGCGGTTTGCGAACTTGGCCGGGCGGTCGTCCTTGCGGCTCAGAGAGGCAAGCGTGTTTCCGTAGATCGCGCCGCTGCCAGGAAGCCTGATCATAATGTGAGTTGGTCTGCGTTTTGATGAAACAGCGATGACGCTCGAGTTAGTTGCAGCACTTACTTCTTGGCGGTCTCATACTCCCTCGCGAACTGGTCTCGCAGCTGCTGCTCGTGGTGCGACCTCGCTGCCTCCGCGTCTTGCTCCTTCTTCTTCCGCTTGGCCTCCGCCTCCTCCTTTTCCTTCTGCTTCTTCGCCTCCTCCTCGATCTTCTTCTTCCGCTTTTCCTCCTCTGCCTTCTTCTTGTCCTCCGCCTCGTCGTGCACTGGCACGGTCTGCGGCTCGTCCTGCTGCTTCTCCCACTCCTTGACCCTCTCGTCCTCCTCCGTCTTCTTGTCGCCCTCCTGCTTGCGTAGCTCGCCGTCGTCCTGCGGCTTGGCGTCGGCGTCCGCCGGCGTCGTCTTGGGCTGCTCCGGCTTCCACGGCTCAGTGAGCGGGACGACTGGCTTCGTGGGCGTCTCCTCGGCCAGTGTCGCCGCGTGCCCGTGGCGCCAGATGGCGACATTCCGCCCGTTGCGGACGTACGCCGTCCATGATGTGTAGAAAAGGAAAGCGGCCACGGCCAGGAGAATGAGTGTCTTGGGTCGGGCCCTGGCCCTCAACGGGCTCTGCTTGAACATGATGCACTGCTTTTTGGTTTTGGTGTCTCCGAGGCGTTGAGGGAGTGTGAACGCTCCGGAGGGGGTGAGTGAGATCCGGGGATGGCCGTGTTCTGAAATGCCAGACCACCGGCGTTATGTTTCGAGATGCTGTCTCGGCTTCTCAAAAGAAGGATGCCCAGTGAACAGTGACATACAACGGAACGAACACCACCAAGAAGCCAAGCAAAACCTTGACCCAATAAGAAATGGAAGTTGTAACCCGGTCAGTTCGTGGATGAGCGAAACTGTATTTCGATGATGAAGGGCATGGTGTGCGGGAAAGGGGGGGAGAAAAGAGAGTTCACGGAGGAAGGGCCCAACGGGTTTGTCCTGCGCGCGCGGGTTATAGCGAGGCGATTCAGCTTTCGCAGGGATGGCCTTTCCATCGTTTGATGCGACAAGTGTGCTTCCTGTCAAGACTAGATAGATTAAGGGGTCTCATCTTCTAGAAAGTGTGATGCCGCGTGCGTGGGAATAGTGGTGTGGGAGGCGAAATAAGGTTTTGGCTGAGTCGGTTGTGATACATGGGATGGTTGACAACTGCCGCCTCATACCCCGTCCACCGCGTCTTGGCAACTTGCCGGGAAAGATTTCCTCAGGCAGCTGGATGAGGGAAGCGCCCAGCTTTTCTGCCGATTGTTATTTCTTTGCAGAGCTTTGTGTCTCTTTCTTGAGTGCAGGACTGCAGACAACCTCTGTTGGCTCTTCAATCCGTCCCACATTTTGAGTTTGGACTTCCGACTTGAAGTTCCGACGATGCCGGCCACAACCCAACACACCACCACCCACCTCTACAACAAGAATAGAAATGTTCTATGCAAACCATTCCGTCTCTCTATTTGAGATGAACTCATCAAAATCTTCAGTGTCATGTATTCAGTCCCAGAGGGCAAGGTGCAGGCGGTGGTCTGCCGGTGTTGGGGTAATAAAACAGAGTTTTTGTGCAAGCAAGGACTACTCCTCCAACGAAGTTAATAAACTTTCCTCATTGAAAATGTGATGTGGTAATTGTACCTTCACGAGGCGACCCTCCCTGCAACAGGGGGAAGGGGGGGCAACGCAATTCTCTTGGCGCAATGCTTGACGTCGCACCCGGTGGCTGCTCTGGGCAGAATAGAAGGAGTGATAACGGCTACGCAGGACGGACAGGTTGAACGCGTCAACCGGGTGGCACTGAAGGAACAGCCCAAGATTGCACGCAAGAACGGGATCAACGATCTTTTCCCCCGAATGCACTCCCTTTAATTGCCATCTCGAGAATCTCTCTTCCCGCGTTGGACGTGGGCAGGGGTTCGGGCTTCGATAATCTCATTTCGGTTCAAAATTTCGTTTCGATATTCCTTCGAAGAGTAGGATCTGGGCAGTTGAGACTTATCGCCGCAAAGACCGTAGATAAGACTATGACAAGTATGGCCCGAGTTCAGTCACGCCATCCTACGCGCCGTTCTTGCCACCATTCGGCAATCCCTCACACTTCCGGCAACGAGCGCGTTCAAAAAAAGCTGCTGACCGCTCGAGTCCTGAAGTCCGTTGAAAGTCCGTTGAGCATCGAGTTGCAATCCTCGCATTGTCTCCACTTGCAACGTCTGAAGAGCCAATCCAACGCCCTTGCTTAATCGCTTCGAATCGGCACCCCGCGGCGGGGCAACTTCGTATTCTATCGGAAAGTTTAAATCACCGCAACTTCATCTCCTCTTTGGCGAACTCCAATCGAGCAGATTTTGGACCATCACAATTCCAACAGCCCGTAAAAGATGTTGTCTCGAGATAAGGCTGAGAGGGCAACTTCTCCTGATCCCAGGCCTCTCCCACGTGAAACTCAAAAGAATCGCGGCTTGCGTTCAATCGAGGTTGTATTTGACTTGTTTTTAAGGTTAGTAGCAAGGTATCAAAAGACCGCGCGACCTCCCGCTGTGTTCTATCCGGGCAACTCCTGGCAATCCTTTTCGCGTCTTCGGACGATGGCCTCAGGGCCGCCAGCGTCCAGGCCTCTGTCCCGCCTAGTGCTCGACCTTGAGCGAGAAGTCGACGTGTGGTACGCCCTGGTGAATCGCGCTCGTCGAAACAATATCCACATCTGCGTAAATCGTCAGCCAAACAATCCCTCGAGCCCGATGTCTCCCCAGCGTTCAACATCATCAACGACTCACCATTGCACACGTAGTTCTCCACATTCTCCAACGTCAACCCGCCCGAGACCTCGACCAGAAAGTGCCTCTTGCCAGCCCACCTCTCCTTCAGACTCCTCGCCGCAACCTTGACGCCCTCGCCCGTGAAGTTATCCAGCATCACCACGTCCGCGCCCGCCTCAATCGCCTCGTCCGCCTCCGCCTCGCTCTGCACCTCCACCTCCACCTTCAAGCTGAACCCGCCCACGCTCTTCGCCGCCCGCACCGCGTTCGTGATGCTGCCCTTGCTCCACACGTGATTGTCCTTGAGCATGATCATCGAGCTCAGGTCGTGCCGGTGCGCGTCCGCCCCGCCGACCATCATGCCGTACTTCTCCACCAGCCGGAACCCCGGCGTCGTCTTGCGCGTGCCCGCCAGCACGCCCCGGTACCCCGCCGCGCGCAGGTTCACCAGCATCCCGCGCGTCATGCTCGCCACCCCGGAGCACCGCGCGAGCGTGTTGAGCGCGACCCGCTCGCCGAGGAGCAGCCCGCGCGTCGGGCCCGTGACGGTCGCCACGGCCATCTTGCCCTTGGGCGCGCCGCCGTGGCCGCGCAGCTCGATGTGGGAACCTTCTTTGACGTGCCACTCGACGGTGCAGTCGCACTGCCGGAAGATCTCGTCGACGAAGGGGCGGCCGGCGACGATGCCACCGGATTTGCCCCAGAGGGTGGCCTTGCGTGGGTCTGAGCCGACGACGAAGCCGCCGTAGTCGAAGGAGGGGGTGTCCTCGGCCAGCCAGGCGGTGACGAGGGTCTTCCAGGAGGGCGGGAGGAGGTGCTCGAGGGAGCCGTGCTCGAGGGGGACGTCTTCCATTGTGCGGTTCGTGGTGGGGGTTGCGGGGTAGTTTTCGTTCGCTCGATCGGTAGGTGTGTAGATTTCGTGGGTGATGTTCGGTGTCAAAGGATCAATTACTCGTGGGGAGGTTAGCAGGAGTTAAAAATTGCGATGTGAGATGTTTGCGCCGCGAGGAAGGGAGGCAATCTTGAAGAGCAGGAAGGGGTCTTTGTCGCCACGGTTTGAGTTTCGTCGACGTTGACGCCGCGGCTTGAGTCGGTGCCGACTGCTGCCGGTCGCTGCCGATGGTGGGGCTGGCGGGTGACAGCTCGGTGGGGGCGTCTGTGCAATTGCCGCCAGCTGTGCTGCATCCGACGCGCCCGCTTCCGACGGTGTAAGTCTTCTCACTAACAACGTTCAAGGCTGGTTGATGGACCTTTAGTGCGAACAAGCTCTAGTCAAGGTGGTCTTATGGCAATTATTGTGTTGGGGAACCGATAGTATCTGCAAAGTCTGGCCAATATTTGCAATCAAGTGCCGGTTCGACCTGCGCAGGAGAGATCACCACTGGATGCAGCTTGACTAACACCGGGTGAAGATCACTTAGACGCGGCAATTCCATCAACCGTACGGCCCAAAAGTCAGAGTCTTGCTGGTCAATGTCATTCGGAAGTATTGATGGAGAGATGATATGAGTTTACTGCTCTCAATGAGCCATCGCCGCCGAGTTCTTCAACCTCCAGCATCTCGTCACCATTCAACGCCGGCTTCTGAGCAATCAACCCTTGGTTGCTCCCACCATGGCATCCAAGAACAACCATCGATCACCCTCCACGCCATGTCCGATCTCTCCCCTCTACTCTCAAACGTTCTCAAACTTTGCATCGTCTATCGCGTATGCGCCCCGACATCCTCAGCATCAACATCCGGTCCCGGCCCCTGAAGATGCGCCGCCGGATCCCTCTGCACATTACCCCCCTCCTTTGCCCCGTTTGCCCCGTTCTGTCCTGACTCTCCGCAGCACGGCACGATCACGCTCGTCTTGTTTCTCGCCCCAGGCATATCCAGCGCCGGGTTCGACGTGAAGAAATCCGCAGGCCGGATGTGCATCTGATGGATCTCGACGGGCCTGTTCCGACGTTAGCAAACAACCAAAATCACTCGGACAAATGCTGCTCACATCACAGGCCAGTCCTCAACCCGGGGATTGTGCGTCAGCCCGAAAACGCTCCAGATCACCGGACTACTCTTCCTCCCCTCCCCTCCTCCGTTCCTCTCCCCAATATCACCATCATTGTCGCCAAACCAGTCCCCCCGCTGCACCATATCCCACACGCCCCCCTCCTCCTCAACGCTCTGGTTCGTAAACTCCCCCGCCGCCCACAGCTCCTCGTCCCGGTGCCCCGTCACCCATACATGGTGCCGCGCGAACTTGGCCCTCTTACTCACCTGGCTCGCCTCGTCCGCGAGTATCAGCTGCGTCGCGCTCGGCACAAGCTTGTACGCCACGTTCCGCCCGCTCACCGCGTTCCGCACCCGCCGGTTCTGAATCTTCACCACCCGGTTCACCCGCGGCTCCGCGTCCACCCAGCACGCGCGCTCCACCTCCCGCTTCATCACTCGGTAGAAATTCCCGTACGGGTTCGTCCGCTCGTCCATCGCCACCGGCACGCTCTCCTCCACCACGACCTCCGTGTCCCCGGCCGCGTACGAGTCCACCGCCGGGTCGATCCGCACGGCGAACACGTGCTGGTGGTTCTGCGCCAGCACCCCGTCCGCCACCACGACCCCGTACTCGCTCTCCGTCTTGCCTGCGTCCATCGCTACCACGCTCATCACCCCCGTCGCCCGCGTCTCCAGTGTGATCCCCCCTGCAGTGTCGAGCTTGTACGCGAAAACGTACTCGTAGTTCGCCAGCGTGACGACGCACTGCACCACCAGCTCCCTTAACCTCGTCACCACCGCCCGGTTCGTGCGGAAGTTCGTGTGCTTCCAGCCGATCCCGTTGTCCTGCTCGTGCAGGCACACCACCGCCTTGGCCACCGTGGGGTTGCCACCGGCGTCCGCGAGCAGCGCGTCGAAGTAGTGGATTGCGCCGAGGCAGTCGCACCCGAGCTCGAGGTTGTTCGCGACGCGCCCGAAGCCGCCGTCGCCGAGGTCGAAGGCCTGCTTGCGCTGAAACGGCGGCCGCGGGTCGCCGTAGGGGACGGTGAGCTCGCTGTAGCTGAGGCGGAAGAGCACGGGGCGGTTGTCGTAGCAGAGGTCGTGCAGGACGGCGCCCTCGCGCGGGGTGAAGCCCAGACGGAAGCGCCACTTTTGCCAGGAGACGAGGTTGTCGCTGTGGACCGTGAAGCTGGCGCCCTCGGGCTGCGTGATGTTGATGGGTTTCAGGTCCGCGCGCTGGGGGATGTCGAGCAGTTCCGGGACGTACTCGGCGCCCGGGGTGATCTTCGTCGTGAAGAGCGGTTTGGGGTCGGCGGATGTGTTCCTGGGTTGCGGGTGCAGGGGATCGTCTTTGCCGCCCGTGGCGAGGCGGTCGACGCGGACGATCTTCTTGGTGGTGAAGTCCATAACGGGGATGATGGGGATCGGGTAGGCGTAGTGGTTTGAGTCCGGGTTGTCGGCGGCGGCGTCGCGGGCGAAGACGAGGCCTTGCATTGTGCGTGGGATGGCGCCGTCCGAGGGGTCTGGGCCGCCGTAGGGCCAAGGGTCGATCGTGACTGTAAAGTTCTCGGGGAGGGAGAACTCCGACATTGCGTCTTTGAAGAGGGGAGAGGCGATGCAGGCGTCTTGGAAGGCGCCAAACTCGTCGCTTTGATATCGTGTCAGTGTGTGCAGACATGGCTTTCCAAGAGGGGCTTACGGAGTGTAGCCGGTCTGAGACTCAGGCTTGGCCACGATGCGCTCGGCTTCTGTCTTCGTTTCGAGGTCGACGATGGACTTTGTGTATTCTGGGAGCTTCCCGTTCTTGATCACATCGTACTGGAGCCGCGCCCGTCGTGGGGGGCGCGGCGTGCTGTCGCTGAGGGTGCCTTCATGCTCGGCTTGCAAGAAGGGAATGAGCTCCGCTTTCTTCGGTTCTTGCAGGTAGATTGCGCGGAAGAAGAGCGTCACTTCAGAGGTGTAAAGCTTCTTCACGACGTCGCCGGCAAGCTTGAACTCGGCCTCGGAGAGGTCTTTCAACGGATGAAGGGCCATGTCTGCACAATCACGTATTGTTTTTCTCGAGAATTGAGACGGACTGACTGGGGCGGGCGAGGGAGCGGCAGCGGCCAGCCTTATCTAGACCTCAACGGGCGGCTGGGCGAGATGCAATGCGGGGGATCTTGCAGTAGTCTGGTGATATCGAGCCATTCAAACGCCTCCGGTATGCGACGGTTATCTTGGCGTGTGACCACAGATATGCCGCTGCTTCCTGTGGGAAGCACGACTTCACATAGTCTTGTCGCGATATGCAAACCAACTCGGCCAGCTCAAGACCATGGCGGCGGGGTAATTGGTCTTGTCAAGATGATAGCTTCATCATGGTGGGGTAAGCTGTCGTGCATGCCCAATCCAGACGCTCATGAGCTGTAGTTTTCTCCAACATTTTTGGAGATCTTGTCGTCTCTCTAAGCTGATCTCATGCCGCTTTGGGAAAGTCCATGCGGTGCAGCAAGGCCATTGGCTGCGGCCTCCATCGGCGTCTTGGGGTTATTGTTGGTGCCGCAGCGAAGGATCGCGCGCGAAGCTGGCCAGGCGAGGACAAACTTCTCCGGGCGCCAGCCGAGAGACTGAAGGCACCGTCTGACCCAAACCCCGTTTCCTGTGTCGTTGCATCCCGTTTGTTGTGTGATTGTTCAACAGTGATGTTTTCTGTGACATTCAATGGTCGCGGGAACGACCGCCACACGGCCCGAACAGAGTTGCGTCGACGACGGTCCAACGTCGGAGCCGTGCATCAACATGGCATGACCAATCTGCAGGGAAAGAAGATTAAGATTAAGCTACGTTCGAAGCATCCGATTCATCTGACCTCCGAGGTCGCAATTCGCAATGCTGGTTATCCCCTCAAACTCGAGCGTTGCAATCCGGACGGAGGCCGCTCCACAATCGAGTATCAAGAAGTGGTAGACAAGAAGCACCTCGGCAGGCTGGCCCGTGACACGACATACCGAAGCTGCATGCTGCCGCCCGGTCAGACGCCAGGCCGCTCGTCCGTTGCACATCTCGGCACATGAGACCAAGAGACTTTTTCAAAAAAAAAAAAAAAAAAAAAAAAGCGTTAATATGATGATCAGAGACATGTCCCGCGATCCTGAATTTGATACCCGTGTAGGCAAGGCAAGGCAAGGCAAGGCAAGGCAAGGCAAGGTTGTTGACCCACATCTCAAGAATGCGCGACGGCAAGGACGACAGCAAGGACGGCCTTGTTGAAGAGCCGCACCGAATTGATGGGATAGCTCGGGTCGAGAGTTTGGGCTTGAGTTGTTTCGTATACAAACACTTGTTTGAGAGAAATGCTCGCTCTTCAAAATGAGAACGCACTACTGTAGAGATTAAGTTGTCGTGACCGAGTTCGTGATGATTGTCGAAATGACAATCGACGGCGGAACGTACGCCGTCGTCTCTTGTGCGGCAAAACAAACTTCGAATTAAGCAAGTCATCATATGGCATTGTCAAGCTCCCCTGGACAAGGTCAGATTCTGATCGGCCGTCGTCCATCGGGGCATGACTCGATCGGCAGGAGTCATCCGCAAGACCGGGCCGCTGTGGCCTGCGGCTGAGGTTGAGGACATCTGAGATAAAGCAGTGGGCCGTTGTTTGGGAAGAAAAAGAAAAGACGAGTGAGAGACGTTGCGTGGACGTGGCTTCTCTCGCAACGGCTCTGGCGATTGCCGATTCGGGGGTTGAGGATGGCATCAGTCTCGAGATGCGAGCGAGACCGGTCGTTGGGTCGCTGGTGTTCGGATTGTAGTCATCCGCCTAGAGCCGAGACCATCGGATGCACCCGGCGGCCAGTCATCTGGTAGATGCATCGTGAAATGGCTTGCGTGGCATGGCGATTTTGCAGGGCGACAGGGCGGGACGGCGGAACGTCTAGACTTTTCGCAGAGACATCGGACGAAGGTGGAGGGCGCTCAGCCCCAAACGCGGGAGTAAGGTTGGTGCTGGCTGTTTGATGTCAGGAATTTCTTGTTGTGGGCACACTGCGGTTTGTAAGTGATGTGCCACGAGCAGTAAGTGAGCGTCTCAAGTCTGCATGCTTGGCGCAACGGAGACGGTTCGGACTGAGGACGACACTGAAGTGGTGTTCATGGCTCTGGGCGGTGTTTGGTGATGCGATCGATGGCTTGATTCTGCGTGGGGAGTTCATGTCCTTTTACCGATCATGACATGAGAGTGGCCACTTGGCGTCGATGCCACGAAACAGGACAAGACTACAGCCTGCCTTGGGTGAGGTATCTTAGCGGCAGGGACGAGATGGTCGTTCCGTGGCGCACGGCAGTTCAGAAAGAAAAGCGGAGGACGGGGAAGGCTCCTGGTCAAGATCAAGTTTATTGGCGAAGAATGTGCTGCTATTGGTTCGCGTGAGTGCGGGGAGTTGTCTCTAGTTGAGTTGACGAGGCTTGATAATGATGAGGCTTGACGAGCACAAGCGGTGGCCGACGTCTGCGAACCGTGGAGGCATTTTATTGCGTTCGACGGCGTGGTCTGGAAGATCCGATGCTGGTGGTGGTGCTGCAGGTGCTGAAAAGGCAGGCATGTACTGCGTAGAGTCAGTTCAGTCTTGAGAGGATGAACGGCGACGAGGTGGAGGTGCAGGTTGATACCTATTTTAAGAGGTGTCCATCCAGGGTGCTCCCTTCTGAAACGCGCCAATTTATCTGATGTCGTGATGGCCCGGGGATCTCCATGATTGTTTTCTGGGCCGGCTTTTGGTGCTCAATTGACATTCTTATTTCTCCTTCTCGATCTTTTTCGGGCCTCCCTGTCGTCCATCGACACGCCGAGACCCTCGAGGGCATCCACAGGACGGATCCCAATTACCAGAAATCTTGCTGAGGCCCCTGTTCGGGACACCGAAGCGAAAGGAGGAGAAGAAGACACCTGGTACGTGCCTCGTCCGGGTACAAGGTAAGGTACCTAGGTACGTCTCGTCAGGGGTGAGCCAGCGAGTGCCTGGCTTAGGTAAGGCACAGAGAGTGGAAAACACGTGGAAGGAACTCCCAGGCAGGACTTGGCATTGATATGGCAAGACGAACAGCAGGTGCAGGAGCGCAGAGACCAACTGATTCCACCTGCCCTCAGTGTCTCCGACTCCCCTCATCAGATGTGCTTGATGATCCATCCTGTCGTCTGCGTATTCGTACGTGTGTGATGCCATCCATTATCCATGGACGAATTTGACCCGAATCCGTGCGCCGTTCCTTGGGGTCCAACATAGGTACCCAATATCCAGCCTTTCAAGGGACGGGCATTGCTACGTGCAGATTGCTCCGCCAAAGCCACATCAGGCTAGACGTCCGCCGTCCCACGACTCGTTGAATACCTACTTTTCCAAGTTGACCGGGCCAACAATGTTGGGCGACTGACTTCCACATTCGAAGCGAAGGCTTGCTCAATCTTATGAGCACGCACACACACACACACACACAAACTCGTTACTAAGAGTAGAGTGCAAGAGGCATTTGTGACGCGACGCGATACGAGACTTGCACGAGACGGGCGAGACGGGCGAGACGGACTCGAGTCAATCGACGAGACGGGACTCTTTGTCTGGACCGCCGCCGTGTCTCCCGTTCCCCGTCCCCCCGTCTCACAGTCACTCTCACTCGGCAGCTCTTCCCGAGCACAGATGCCGCAATGCTCATTCGTCATATCCGTCGGCAGGTGGCGTAAGTCTTTGGGCACTTTCTTCGGATTGTTTGTATCCGTCCCGTGTCCCGGCTTCCAGTGCTTCAGTGATTCATCCATTGCCTCGCTCGCCCTACCCGTCTGCCACCAGACCTCGGGCTTGTTCGTGTCTGCAATGTCCATGCACCCAGCGCGGTCGAGCACGGGGATCCCATCTCTTGGTGTCTTTCCCGTCCGTGCAATCCGCCCTCCCGTGCTGTCTCATCCGTCGTCTGGCCTGTCTGGCCTGTCGAATCCCCTGGCAGCAGCGCCAAGCGGCCAAGTTGCCCGTCAGCACCGGCGCCCATCCATCCACTACCTTAGGCCAGGTGAGGACTTGGAAAGCACTGCGCCGTAGCATTCGGGCCAGGGACGATCGTATGGTTCTCCGACGGCCGGAAGCACCTCACGCAGTAGCGCATGCGCATACAAGGCAAGTGTGAAGACGGTGAGGTGGAGGGATGGTGAGGTGGAGGTTACGCGGTGACGGTGCAGTGTGTACGTACTTTGCTGAGGTGTTGTCAGCACCGCAGCCCGCAGCAGGCAGACCCGGCGGCGACATCCAGCCAAGCAGCAGGTGCAGCTGGAGCAGGTGCAGCCAAGGTACCTACCCTGAGGTGTACCTTCCAGGGGGCCACGCCACGGCCACCAACCAAACCAAGGAAAGAAGGCACAGAAGGGACTTCCATTGCTCATTCTTTTCCCGACCCGTCCAAGTCTCGTCCAGTCCATTGCGTTGCGAATCGAATCGACGAATCGCTCGACTCCCTATCGCAACTTGCTCCTCCGAAGTAGCGCAGTGTCCATCTGCCAATCGTCCCTTCTTTTCTTCTCCTTATCGCTGAGGTGCCCTCCACTCCCTCCTTCCTGAGTCCCTCCCTTGCATCCCGACCTATTAAAGACTCGCCCCGTGCCAAGTCTCGCCCGTTTCCCATATCGCTGCTGTCTCGAGGTTTTGCGAGACTCGACCGTCACTCACTCAACGAAGCAAAAACTTCGCTCCTTGGACAAAAACCCTTCCGACGACCACATTTCTACCAAGACACGCAGCACGTCCAGATCAGCCTCCCGCTCAAGCCGTTCGGTGCCTTAATTGGAACACCTCAGTCGTACTCGGTGCGGCACAGCACAGCCATCCGCCATCTTACGCAGCCCTGCATCCACCCCAAATCGTGTCCTCCAGCCGCATCGCCCTGACCGAAGACCAAAAAAAAAAAAAAAAAAAAAAAAAAAAAAAAAATTCACTAGGACCCTGGGCGAAGTCCCCTAATAATATCTTCGCCCATTTTATTCTGCCAACTTGCCGTCTGAAACACAACAACTCTGCCCACCCAGAGTCTCGACGACGTCAATTCGTCTTCATTCTCCTTCTACGTCTCTTGGAATTCAGATCGATCGCCGGGGAACTCGACCCAGTCGTCCCGTCCTGACCTGCGCCTCTCTCTGCGACGACGCTATTCCAAAGGTGCGCTCCGGTCCTCGTCTGCCCGTTACGTCTCCAGGCCCCACGCACTCTCTATCCGCTACCAGCTCATCCCTTCACCACCCAAACCTTGAACAAGCTCCCTCCCCTATTCCCCCGACCTAGACTTCATTTACCTGCCAGCCCTACCCGCCTGCTCTTCGCTGCGCAGCTTCTTGCGCCTCAGCCTGTTGCCGACGTGCCCGTTTTTCCTAATAATTTCCAAACTGACACCACCTCTTTTGGTTTCGCAGGAATCACAGAGCCGTAGTCCAGGCCCTCCAACTGCCGCGGCTTTGCCTTCTTTATACTCCGAATTCGACGTCCCCAACGGCTTTTTTTAAGCAACCACGTCGCATTCGTTTCGGCCCCCAAAACGTCCTTCTTTAACGTCGCCGTCACTACAGCTTCCGTCTTTGCCAAGAGGAATTCGACTTCCCAATGACTTCATAGTTGTCAATTCATTCAACAAGAAAACTCGCTCTTTACATTACCACCTTCGCCATGCTTACCCCCAAGAGAGCCGTCGCCGCGGCCGCCTTCTTCCTAATCGTCTTCTACTTAATCTCCTCCTCCCACGACACAACAACCATCTCCACGAAAGCTCCCGTCGCCGCCTCGAATCATGATACGACAGACTCCTCAAAGACGTCACATGCCTCCTCGATCGACAGCATGGAGCCCTCCTTCCCGAAGAAGGTGACTGGACAAAAGCCCATGATGGACATGTCCAAGATGTCGCTCGCCGACAAGCTGGCGTACCAATACCCCTATGACGTCGAGACGCGTTTCCCTGCCTACATCTGGCAGACTTGGAAGTGGACGCCTGCCGAGGAGGAGTTCAGTTTCCGTGAACAGGAGGCGTCTTGGTCCGAGCAGCATCCCGGCTTCGTCCACGAGGTTATCACGGACAAGGTTGCTGTCAACCTGCTCCGTCTGCTCTACGCCTCTGTTCCCGAAGTCCTCGCCGCGTACGACGCTCTCCCTCTCCCCGTCCTCAAGGCCGACTTCTTCCGATACCTGATCCTGCTTGCGCGCGGCGGCATCTACTCCGATATTGATACCTATGCTATCCGGTCTGCTCTCGAGTGGGTTCCCGAGCGCATCCCCCGGGAGAGCATTGGTCTGGTCATCGGCATCGAGGCCGACCCTGACCGCCCCGACTGGAAGGACTGGTACAGCCGTCGCATTCAGTTCTGCCAGTGGACCATCCAGTCTAAGCCTGGCCACCCTGTGATGCGCGAGATCGTCACCCGCATCACGCAGGAGACCCTGAAGCGCAAGAGAGCCGGCCTGCTTGATAACATTGTCGACAAGAACGTTGTCGAGTTTACGGGTCCGGCCGTCTGGACGGATACCATCTTCGACTATTTCAACGACCCGCGCTTCTTCGACCTGAAGAACTCCAAGGGCCCTATCGACTGGAGGAATTTCACGGGCATGGAAACTTCCAAGAAGGTCGGCGACGTGGTGGTCCTCCCCATCACCAGCTTCAGCCCTGGTGTGCAGCAAATGGGCGCCAGGGATTATGATGATCCTATGGCATTTGTCAAGCACGACTTTGAGGGTAAGATACAGTTGAATGATGACTCCAGGATTCCAGCTAACGAGGATGTAGGCACATGGAAGCCCGAGGAGCTCCGCCATATTGGCGAGCAGAACGAGGAGAAGGCCTCCTCCTCATAAACCCCATGACAGCAACGACTTTTCTTTCGGCATATGTCTTTTAATAATTGCATCTCAAGCGGCGTCCTAAAGGCCATGTTTTCGGTGCGGACGGGGTTTCACGTGTTTTGATTTTTGAATTGGCTTTGTACGGCACCGGTGGAAGGAACTACGAGCGAACAGCATATTCTGCAAAGCAGGAAAAGCATAGAGATTTCGGCATAGAGGTCCATTTCCAGTTACCATCAGATCTCAAGAGGAGGACGGCCTTCACAAGGAGGGTCGAGAGACTGCAGTCATTAGCATCGCGGTACATATACCCCAGACAGTTACAGTCAGAAATGAAGCGGTAAAAAGTTTAAGCCCCTCGATGCAATTTGTCTACATGGCTCGTGAAATGTCTTGGAAACTTAGGGGACCCAAGCCACTGCATTGGCCTGTCTGTTCGTTGACGCACCTGCAATCACCCGCAGTGGAAGCTTGGCCGACTTGGCCAACAACGTGACAGCAGTGAAGCGAGCTGGGCATTCGCAGGCGGCTCCTTCGGGCCCCCGGCCCTGCAATGGAGTTGTTCCCTGTCGCTTGTGTTGCGGCGCCGTTCAACCCCGCACATTTCCCCCCTTTTTCTCCGCATTTTGGGATCGGGAAGCTTGGAGCTCTCAGCTCTCTTCCCCTCTGCCAAGACTGGACCGTAGGTTGGGTAGGTTACCCCCCGGCCGCCGGCCAGACGCGGTCCGGTGGGAGTGCGCAACGACGCATACCAGACAGCTGCCAGAGCCGAGAAGCGACCAGCCTCCCCTCACTTATTGTTTTAGCCTTGGCTGCCGGTTATTGCGTACCCGCCAATACGGATACTCTCAAGCAACGACGGCGAGCGCTCTCTCACTCTCACATGAGAGCTGTGCGAAGAACGACGGTCGGACCGTTGCCTTCTTTTTTTCTTGTTAATGTCGCTCTTCTGTGAATCTTTGAGGATCTGAAGCGAGGACTACCGAGAGCTTTCCTTTTCAACGTCCGCGACCAAGTGCAAGATGAGGATACCGGTGACTGGGGTCTGCCGCCTTGCGAGGACCTCGAGCCTCGTGAGGTGGACGAGCTCGAGGGTCGCGGGCAGAGGGCTGCTTTCTGCCAGGGCTTATAGCTCCAAGCCGTTGAGCTTCAGCCAAGGTCCAGAGGATGTACGTCACTCACTTTCTTACCCTTTATCCTAAACATGAGAGAAAGACCTCACTCTCACCTCAAACCAAAAACATCCCTTCAAAGCTAACACCCGCTAGCCACCCCTCCTCACACACACAATCCCAGAACACTTCGCCTCCATCGTCTCCGCCCACGGCGACCGCCCCGCCGTCGTCGCCCGCGCCCCAACCGCCCTCTCCTCCGCCGCCACAACGCCCATCACCACGGAGCTGTCCTACTACGACCTCGACGTGCTCTCCAACTCCCTCGCGCACGGCCTGCGCTCCCTCGGCGTGCGCAAAGGCGACCGCCTCGCCGTCTCCCTCGGCAACGGCGCCGAATTCGCCGCGCTGACGTATGCGGCCTTCAAGCTCGGCGCCGTGCTCGTCCCGCTCAACCCGGGCTTCAACGCGAAGCAGGTGGCCGCCGCGCTAAGGCATCTGGGCGTCGAGGTGCTTGTTATTGGCAAGGTGACGGATCTGCCGTATAAGCCCGGGCGGGGGCGATGTAATCTGGAGTTACTGAGGGCGCTGGTGCCGGATTTGGAGAAGGGGAGCGTCGAGAGCGAGGTGGTCCCGAGCTTGAAGAGGGTCGTGGCGGTGGATAATCTGGCGTTCCACCCGCAGGTCGAGTTCGGGAGGTACAGGGCGCTGACGCGGTACGAGGAACTGCTCGCCGGCGGGCGGGGGGGCGTGGTCCCGGACGAGGCGCTGCGCGCCGACGAGACGATTAATATCCAGTTCACGAGCGGGACGACCTCGCAGGCGAAGGCGGCGATGCTGACGCACACGTCGGTGCTGAACAACGGGCACCTGATCGCGCGGCGGATGGGGCTCGTGCCGGGCGACAGGATCGTCGTGCCGCCGCCGCTGTTCCACTGCTTCGGGTGCGTGCTGGGGTACATGGCGACGGCGACGACGGGGGCGGGGATACTGTTCCCGAGCCCCGCGTTCGATCCGGCGGCGACGGTGAGGATGGTCGCGGAGTATGATGCCACGGGGCTATATGGCGTGTCGACGATGTTCGTGGCGGTGCTGGAGGCGCTAGCGAGCGGGGCCGGGGGCGTGAGGCAGGGGGAGATGCCGCGGGGGCTGAGGAAGGGGATCGCGGCGGGGAGTAGTGTGCCGGAGAGCCTGATGCGGCGGCTGTATGAGACGGTGGGGCTGGAGGAGCTGGTGATTTGTTACGGGATGACGGAGACGAGTCCGGTGAGCTGTATGACGGCGCCCGGGGACCCGTTTGAGAAGCGGACGGGGAGCGTGGGGCGGGTGATGCCGCATACGAAGGTGAAGATTGTGGACCCCGGTGATAGGGGGAGGGTGGTGCCGCGCGGGGAGAGGGGGGAGTTGGCGGCGGCGGGGTACCTTGTGATGAAGGGGTATTGGGGGGATGAGGAGAAGACGGCGGAGGTGAGGGTGGAGGATGGGGAGGGGACGGTGTGGATGTACTCCGGGGACGAGGCGGTGATGGACGAAGAGGGGTATGTTGAGATCACGGGGCGGATTAAGGATCTGATTATTAGGGGTGGGGAGAATATACACCCGCTCGAGGTGGAGAATTGTCTGTTCCAGATGGAGGGGGTGAAGGAGGTTTCTGTGGTCGGCGTGCCGGATGAGAGGCTCGGGGAGAGCGTGGGCGCGTTTGTGGTTGTGAAGAAGGGGTGGAAGGGGGAGGGCGAGGATGGAGAGGGCGAGGTGCTGACGAGGGACGCGGTGAGGGCGTGGGTGAGGGAGCACCTTTCGAGTCATCTTGTGCCGAAGCATGTGTTTTGGATTGACGAGTATCCCAAGACGCCGAGTGGGAAGATTCAGAAGTTCAAGTTGAGGGATATGGCCAAGGAGATTTTGGGGGAGAAGAAGGATTAGGTAAGGGGAGTATGGATCGGTTGAAGACAGCATTGTTATGGAGTATTGGGTGTGTTTTTTATGATGACAGTAAATGCAATGTTTAAGCAATGAAATATCTAAATTCAACATGAGGGGGGAAGAGTTCAGAGTCTGGAAAGCAGACCTCCCCTTCAACGTCAAACTCACACATTCTCCCAACTTCTGCCTTCGAATCAGGTCTCGTGCTCAAAGTTCCAACCGAAGAAGCTGATGTCAAGATTCTGGTTGTCCATCCAGCCTGCATCATCATTCTGTTGTCCCAACCCGTCATGGCTTCCAACAGCAGAATCAAAATCGCATTCGAGGCCAGATGGTTGTTGAGATGACTCCATGATGACCGCAGCCGTTGGCGTAAAGAGCAAGAAGAAGAAGAACAAGAAGAAGAAGAACAAGAAGAAGAAGAACAAGAAGAGCACCACGACCAGTAAGAGCGAGCCTTCACCTCCTAGTCGCCTAGTATGGAGAAAGCTTCCCGCATAAATCCGACGGATGATTCTGGACGACCTCATCAGTGATCCCTCAAACAAGCCGGCGTTGTCGTCCTGGGCAAGTGTGTGTGCAGACTGGCAGGTCTTCATTGAGGAACACACATTCAAGTCTCTCCATCTCAAATGGGATGATTCTCGCACGGATTCTAAGCTTCCGACATTCGAAGCCATTGTCACCGGCCATCGGCGGAGACTGCTCAAGAACGTCACCCTCAATATCATGCTCGGTAAATACAGTTGTTTGGTATGCGGCCGACCGGAGTCGGACCTGGAAATCGACAACAATCTCCGCTTCACAATCGCCCTACAGCAACTCTTTTTGGCCCTCAAAGACTGGAACGACGATATCTCATGTTACTAGAGGCTCAGCCTGGAAATACGAGCTGGCTCCCAAAGCGACTTTTATCACTCCTTTCCGGACGTCGAACACGACGCTCACTACTTGCGCAACGACCACATCCAACAAGCTGCAGGGATGATGACAACTGTGATGACGAACCCGGCCGCAGCTATGTACCTGTTCGAAAATCCGAATGGCGAGAAAAAACGCGTCGTCGGCAATCTCCTGCATTTCAAGAACATCGACTTGAAACTGCCCACGCTCCCATTCATTCATCAGCTTGTGGTGAATCGAAGCACAACGCGAAGCTTCACAGCAAAGACCATCAAGAAGCTCCTGAAGCACTTGACAGGTCTCAAACGCGTCGTCTACGAGCCCATGCAAGCTGTCGGCAAAGACGTCAAGCAGCGCCAAAAGGCCAACATAGCTCTACTCCGGAAACTGCCATCCTCTATAGAGTCGTTCTCTCTGTACGAAGCACGCTCAGATTACCTCCAGATGCAACAAATGGGCGTATCAACTCCCCCAGAGGTGCGGACTGGCAAAAAGGTCGTGGCAGCCGCTATGGCAGCCAGCTTGCGTTGCCGCAACCTCCAAGAACTTTCCCTGTCTAACGCAGTTGATGCCGAAGACTTCTTTACGCGGGCTTTGGAAGATCCGGCAGTGAAAGACACTTCGGGGGATGCGCCTTGGCCGAATCTGAGACGCGTGGCTCTGTCAACCCGATATGAGAGACGGGGGGATTCCAAAGTGTCACCCTATCAGCTGCTCCGCGACGCTGCAAGCGTAGCCCTACGCATGCCAAAGCTAGAGACTATGGAAATCTGGGCTGAATCTGAGTTGAGAAGATTCTTGTTCCGGTATCATGTCGAGGGCGACCAGGCGGTCATCAGGGTAGAGATTGACTCGGAATATTGTGAAGAGGGAGTCTCCCTCCCACATCTCCCATGCGCCAAGCTTGTAAAGGCAGTCGAAAAGACTCTGAAGATGTGGCGAAAGGTTGCAGGCCCGCGTCGTCAGCTTTCGCATATAGTGGAAAGGGTTGACGGCCAGGCCGCGTATTGGGACGACAGCGATGATGAAGACGCGATTTATGACGATGAAGACCAGAAGACGTGGCCGCCAGCACCGTCTGTCTGCGAAAGCCTTCAGCTGAATGGCTTGGTACGGGATGCCAGTGCGAAGCGGCGTTTCGTCTTTAAAGACTGGTATTGATGGGCGTATTGTCAGTGAGCTCAGGCGAGATGCATTGTATTCATTACTGTGGCGTTTGGTGTAGTTGCATTTTCATGTATCACCATCTGTACAACAATCACGGAAACCATTTCTTTGACTTGAAAATACATTTACCTCCAAGTAATCACATTCCATGCACCATTAGAGTTGATTTGGTTCAATTTGGAGACTCCACCACTCCGTAGCACTATGCTAGTCGCATCGACTGTTTCTCGCTCGGCGAACACCCGAAAGGTAATGGGCGATTTTGATTTTGAGTCTTGTGATCTGGGGGGTTACTTATGGTTGACCGGGCGGATAACTGTTGACATTGATACCCACCACTTGAATTCTGTACCCAATATTCAACTTCTGACCACCCCATGAAGGACTGTGCTCATTTGAACCAGAACCAACGCCAAGTGTCGCCAGGCTGGATCTCTGCCTGGTTGTCCGGGGCGACGTAGGTCTTCCCCAGCTCGAAGACGTGAGGAAGAACAGCCAGGTTGTTGTGCAGATTCTGCACACCGGCAATGATGGTTCCATGAAGACCTGAGTAGAGCGAGCATCAGCACAATGTCACAACTACATGGTACGGCAGTTGACATTGTGGCCTATCTGGGAAAGCTGCATCAAGAATGATGCAGATGCGGTTCTGGGCATCGATCCAGGCTGCCATGAGAAGGGCATGGCCCGCGATCGTGATTGCCTGGCCGGCAGGACGGACTCGAGGGAGCCAGGCGGGATGGAAAGTCGGACCGGCGATTGTGGCGGGGGCGAGGCCGCGTTCCTCGACATTGACGTTGTCGGCTGCGGGCTGAATGTCTGGCTGGCGCGCCGTTTCAGTCATCATTACACGTTGACCTTGGACAAGAGAACTTACTGGACAAGTCGATGGAAGCAAGGTTCCCAAGACTGACCGAATCAGCCGGCGCGGGGGTCCAAGTGTCCGGGCCTGTACATAGTCAGATGCTGTCTCCGAGATGCGAAAAGGAAGGGGAGGATTCTTGCCTTCTGGCATGAGGTCTTTGGTGGCAGGATCTTCGGCAAGAGGTATCCTGTAGGCAACTGCACCAAGGGCAAGAGCATTAATGAGGTTCGATGTCTTCATTTTGGTAATGAGCGAACAGTGGTCTGACGGTGATTGAAAAGAATGGAAAAATGCTTTGATGAGAGGAAGATGAGAGTTGAGTTACTCGAAAGCGATAAGAATCATGGCCATTTATGTTTGAGACGGTTAGTGTATTTTTTTTAGCTGGCTAGACGACTCTGTACTCAATCGCAAAAGCATCTTGATCCGCTTCGAAGCATTCCAAACTCGGACATCAATGGCTTCAATTTACGTGCAAAATTCTGATATCTAGATACAGGATATCTAAAGGCCCAAGCTATATTGAAGCTATTGCATTTGAGGAAATGTCTCTGAAGGCCGATGGGATAGTTGTGGGATAACACTAGCTTGAGGCCTTCAGAGAACTTTTGCACACTTGTCCAAGATACGAGAAGTTTATAAAATTCGACCTACCGGGTGTGTCTCAAGATGCTGGATTTCTCATCTACTAAATATCTCTTGACAGCTTCTCTGACGTTGCGTGCTCACGATACGAAGTCTAAGGTAGCCCGTGAACAGGAAGTGCTCTAGTGCCCAGTGGGATATCGAACTTTTCAATTTCTGAAAGGCTCCAGGTTAAATAGCTCTGACTCGTTCGAAAATCTCCAATCTCCGTCCTCTCCGTGAAAAAAGTCGTATCTGTGTTAGATCACTTGCATTCGGATATAAATTGTCAATGAGGCCAAGAAACCATCACGACTTTTCTCTCGCAAACTAAAAACATCATCGGCGTCCTCGGTACTAGTCACACGAACATCTCACCATAATTCGAACCGACGGTTACACTTGTGATTTAATTACAACCTACCATACTTCACCAAAACCATGAAGATCCTTCAGTACATGTATCTCGCCGCCTTGTGAGTATCTTCCATCAGCTTTGCATCCTTCCGGAGATGAACGGCCTAGCTAACGGTCCTATACAGCGGCGCCGTCACCGCCAACGCCTACATGTGTAACTGCTTCAATGTCAACAGACCCGAGATCGTCGCAGCCGCCCATGTTTACGAGGTTTTAGGAGGAGCGCTTTGCAGCGACAAGGCGCGGAACATCAATGGCGTAAGTTTCCCAGACGCTTCTCACCTGGCTTGCGGCTCTCGCCAGCATGTTGCTAATAGTCACGTATTAGTGCATCATTGGTCATACCAATACCGATGCCGACTGCGCCAGGCTTTACTTCAAGATTGAGGACGGCAAGAAGGTCCCGGATACGTCTTTCAAGGCGAACTGCGAGCACTACACTGTCTCTTACCCCAGTTAAAATGGTCAACGACAGAGTTAGATGAGCTGATGGGATTGATCTTGTTGTACATTTGAAATGTAGCTGAGCTCTTAAGGAAACGCTGAATCCTTGTAATCATGAGCGACTAGTGTTGAGGATGTGTGAACTTGACCTCCACTGATTCTGTTTCGAAACGAATCTCATACCAACGTCTTCAACAATTTTCTGCTGCTTGAGTAAATATTCCAAGCTAAACAGATCAGCTATCATATGGCCTATTCTTTCCCGCCGTCCGGTCGTTCCTGTCGTCTTGATGACTATATAAGTCGCATTATGATGTTACGTCTGCTAGATCCGGTGTCTCTTCAGTTCCCACATCCTAGATCATTAGCTAGCAGCATCTTCCAGATAGTTGTACTCTGTGAAGGGAGTGGTAGTTCTCATTCAGGTCATCTTCGCCTTCGCACACAGCCTCCGTCGCCAAACCGTGGAAAGAGGTTGTGTCCTACCATGAGACCTTCCCCTCGGCAGCCAGTGGACGCCTTGTCCCCGTGACTGCTAACCCATAGCACTTCCCTGCGGCGACTATCTGGCAAGAAGCCTCAATAAGTTTAAGATACAGCATCTTCATGATCTCGACTGTCTACGGATGACCATACATACTAGTCAAAGTTTGTCTTGATCTCTAGATGAGCAATCGCAGATGATCATTCTCAGAGAGAAATTTGAGCTCCCAACGCAATGAACTCGTTCGGACGCGTGTTCTGAAAATGGCATTCATCAACGTCCGCGTTGCCGCGGTATCATTCCACATACGCCGAAGCTACCAGCCGTAATAGCGCAAAGTATCACCGGATCGATCTAGGTTTCAGATGCTTTGGGATTTGGACGAGCCTCTCATATGCCTTGACTCCACACCAGATGACACACTGATAGACTGTTCTGATTTCTTTGCTCCACAGGGACTCCAGCTTAGCGCAGCAACAGGCCCTTTTGTACTTACACCGCACCGGATGGAGTCTGTTCTTCGTCGACAATGTTAGCACAGCACAGAATGAGAGAACGTTACACGAAGCCTGCCAAGACCCGTCACCTCAAGGACCGACATCCAGCTATAAAGCTACGCTTCAAACTGCTTTCTCTCTCGTGTGCACCGACAAAGATCATCTGGTATTCCAACAGCTGGATAACTTCAAAACATTTGACGACTCGGCCCAGATACGTGCACATCAAGGGCAGTTGCAAAGACTCGGCCCAAGTCATGATCAGCCAGCACGGAACAACAGTCCCGGTCTCCGACGTATTCCAACCGGAATAGTATGTATCTAGAGACAAGAAACGACAAAGCAAGGCTTTGAGGTCGTTTGGCTGGAACCCAATAAAACGGTCCAGCTAGGATTCGTTTGTGGAGTTCAGCTACAACAAACTGCGTCGCTCGCTGTCTTCCCGGTTCCTCATTTGGTGGTGGGAAGAAGCTAAGCCATGCAGACCCGAGAATTTATACGCAGGCTAAACCGCCCCAAGCGCGCGACCTAGAGATAGAACTGTTTCTAATAGTCTATACCTACCTTCGTCCGACTTCAAGGCGATGTCTACCTCATCACCGCTCGATCAGTCCGCATGGCTAAGGTGATGCTGGGCAGCTCGTTGTCCCCAGGCCACCGTATGTCTTAACTTTGGAAACAATGCTATTTAAAGCGAGTGAGCTTACTACTGGAAAGTTTGGTTACAAATGGAATTTCCGCTTCGCTCATCGTGAACACATGTGTCGTAGGAGAGGATTCAGTCAGTGTAGGTTGGATTTATCCTCTTTGGGTCAGACAGCCGTTTCCCGGATGACAAACTGAAACGTGTACACTTGAGCGTTGTAATCATGAGATACTCACCAAAAGCTACTGGACGAAAAAGCCAGAACTGGACGGACGTGTGCTGACGAAAACAATCCTTCAACGGACTTGCCCAAGGCCGTGCCCACCCTGGCGACCGTCTTCTTGACAGCGGTGGATGGGTTGGCAGGAAAGACCTCGTGGCATACGATGATTTGGCTGCCAAAACCCGAAACTCAAGTACAAATCATCCAGATACCTTATATATGCTTCCCTTGACGCAGCTCTCAACCGCTGAGGCCTGCACTAAACGCAGCTGCCCCGATGCCACCAGCGCCAAAAGAGCATACATCCATTTACCAAGAAAATAGCATACTCGCCACTCGACTGTCTTGAAAGGCAATTGGTGCCCGAAGGGTACTTGTCGCCGATGTGCATTAGTGTCAGCACCATCCGTCCCTCACCACCCACCTCAGAAATAACCACGCCTCATCCGAAACCGCTGAAATAGGAAACTTATAGTTGAATGCAATGTATGCAGAATACTCGCTGAAAGCTACCGGACAAAAGAGACGCTACGAGACAGATACGCCTCCTCGAGGAACATTCCTCAAGGACTTTGCATGATGTATGTCCAACCTGAGCCCATGCTTGAAAGCGCTGGATGGCTTAGCGGCGGTTTACTGCCCTGCACAAGGAACTACTGCCAATTGGATTGGGATGTCAGAATACAAATCCAAGCAAGCACTCTCACATATATACTTCTTAGTTACAGCCCCTCGCCGCCGAGGCTTACACGAACTGACGCCAATGACACTGTGTGAGCCCCCATTTATCAATAAAAGCACCTCCTCTTCAGTGGACTATTCGTCGACGGAAATTAATCATGGTTTCATCTTGATGGCTATCAATGTCACAGGCATCAATCCCTTGACCCACTATAAAGACCATAGCTCCTCAGCTTGAACCAACCTCGACCTTATCTTCAACCCATCTTAAGCCCTCTTATAAATACCCCCCCAATCAACAACCAGCAGCAACGAAACCAGACAGAGACAGACAACCGTTGACACACATCACCCGTAACTTCTACCGCCGACTGACGAGTTACATTACAACCGAGACTCAAAGCCATACGCTGATAGAATCGGAAGCAGGCACAAAAGCTGTCGACCATAGATACCGACCCATTTGGCCTGAAGATATCATCCTGCCCCCCGGGGATAATATATAGCAATCTAGAGAAGACAAGCAGAGTTGGATGGTCTTGCAGATTGCGAGGGAAGAAGGGTCTGCGAGGTCGCCCGCCTAGCAGTATTCGTCTTCTTCACCTCACATGGGCTGGCTTCCAGCGCGATAGGTAGTCGCCAGCCCACGCCGGCGGTCACCGGCCTCCGGCACAAAGACTCGGCGTCGGACCCCACCAGGCGGCTCCGCACACCTATCAATCACATACACTTACATCAAACTACACGTCACCAAAAGTCACAATCAAAACGCGCTCCCTTCATGCATCAACTCAAAATACTTTTTTGGTTCATTTCTCAATACGTCCGACGGTGTGAATAGATCCCAATGCGACGGGACGGATCCTCTCCCGGACCTCCCGCGCACACATCTCTTTTTCCCTTTTTGTCTTGATAAAGCAAACCAAATGTCATCTATGCCTGTGTTGGTGCCCGCCATCCAGGCGTGTGGCACACATGAATTTCTAGCAAATAGTAATGCGGCAGTCGTACCTATCCGGCCCGAGTACGATCGCCTCTGAACTCCTTTCTTCCCACACCAGCTTTGTACATCCGGACGTCTTTGTCTTCTCCCATCCCCGCGACGCCTCGTTTTCATGCTTCATGGAAGACTGCGGTATCCATCATGCTGATTCAGTCGACTTGCTTCTCGCAGCCGATTCTGCCCAGAAGCTCCTTGCGATCGCTGTGGCCCGGCAGGCTGAC